TATATATATATATATATATATATATATGCGCTTGTATCTCTCTCTGGTATAGGGAGAATTTTGCCAAAAACTTGTTTTTCATTCTCTCAAAAAGTAGTTTTTCTAGCTCTGAAAACTTAACAAGAGTACCCTTTTCAGTTTTAATAATAGGTAAATCTTCTTGTTCAAGTCATTTTCAGATCAAACCTGGTTCTTTGTCAAAAACAAGAATCCAACTTCAGATTTTTCTAAAAAGATTTTGAGTTTTTCTTCTGTAAGTTTAAGGATGCAGTCATTTTTATTACCTTAAATAGGTAAGCATTTCTATGATCTGTCCAAATCAAGAATCCAATTGCAAAATGATTGAACTTGTAAAAATTTGTAGTTGTTTTTATAAATTAATTAAGAAACAAATACTTATTTTTGGTCAAATTTTAGTCCATGTTCCATAATGTTCAATCTTTAATTGTGATTAATTAGGGATACATTAGTTGTGTTAATTACCCTTGTTATATATACAGGCTGACAAGTCCACCATTGTTGATGAAGCAGTATCCTACATAGGATCATTGCAAGAAACACTTGAGAAACTGCAGAAAAAGAAACTTGACAGGATCCGTGGGATGACTAATTCCACCGGTTCCATTTTCGCCCCGAAACTGGCAACGGAATCAAGGGAGGCATTTTTAGCCGACCAACGCGCAAGTACCTCGACTACTATTGCTATTCCTCCGGTTCCTAAATTTCCAATAACAACCAATTTTCAGACATATACTTCTCCAAATGTTGTCCTAAACACATTTGGCGAAGATGCCCATATCAACATTTGTGCAGCTAAAAAACCAGGGCTGTTCACTGCCATTTGCTATGTTTTGGAGAAGTACAGATTGCAAGTGGTTTCTGCCCAAGTTTCGTCTAATCAATGCAGAAGCACGTATCTGATTCACACCCATGTAAGTTCATCTTGTTAATTTCTATCAGCAAACACAGCACACACGTACGCTGTATGTGAATTTTATGTACTAAGTTTGGTGGTTTCAAAACTAGGGTTTTGTTCATTAGTGGAAAACGTGAGTCTGGCGAAAGCTTTTGGCTGATTATAGCTGGTGATTAAGAAAATAATGATTAAGCTCCACTTAACCATGGTTAGCTTTCCAGCCACACATGATATGTGCATCTCAGAGAAGAGAAGACAAGATATACTGAGTTCATGTCTCTACAAATGAACTCATCCACAAGTGAGAAGTCGTGTTAAAGACGGATTAAATATACAAATTTGTCCCTTCTCTATAACACAACATATAAATATTGTGATGAAATTTTATTCATTCAGAGGAAGACTTGGAGTTAAAAGATTAATGTATTTCAAGAATATTTTCCAATAATTAATTGTTTTTTCTGACTCTTAATTACTTATTTTTGTGCTAGGCAAATGGAGCATCTGAGCATTTCCCTCTGGCAATTCCAGTGGAAGAAATCTACAAGCTAGCTGCAGCAGAGATAATGCGATGGGTTAATGCCTGATTATGCAGATGAAAATTTCAAGGAAGATAGATGGCAGTGATAAAATTTTCCTATCTTTATTTTTAGTATAGAATTATCTAGTAATTAATCTTTTTCAGTTGCAAAGACTTTATTCTGTGCTTTCTTAAGTTGTATTGCTACAAAGTACAAACATTTATAAATTATAATTCTCTCTTTGTTTGAATTAAATAGTTATCTTTAATTTGATAATATTAGGTTTTTAATTTCCAAAATATTAGAAAGTCTCAGAAGTTATTATTTTCCATGTTATAGCAATTTATGTTAGAATAAATTTGAATTCTCAAAGCATTCAAGCTAGATAGGTGGCATACACAGCCAATTTTTATTTATTTATTTATTTATTTTTTAGATGCTCAATTAGTTTATAAAGTCTAATTCGTAATATCGATATACGAAATTCAATGTGTTGCGATAACTAGGATTATTTCTTTCTACCAGTGAACTCGACACTAATTAATTTGGGGTTTGATTTGTTATAATGTGTCGAATTATTTGACATTAGTGTATAGCTTGTATGTCTTTTTAGAGTGGAATTAATTGAGTGGTAAAACTTGAGTATTTTTGGCAAAATGTACGAAAATATTTTGTGATTTTACAATCAATCATACACTAGTTATTATGGGGATTTCAATTCTTATGTGTTTCAAGTTTTCAAAAATAATGTATTGTTCCATGAAACTAAAGGTCCAAAATATAAAAGAAAGAAGTGCTTTCACAACTCTACCATCCAGTCATTAATTCTGTTCAGAACAACCTTTTCAAGATTGATAATTGTGCCATAAATTAAGAACTACAATGCAGTATATGAGCATGGCCTAGAGCGAAGAAACATGGAGATACATATAAACTAGCTTTGTTGATCCTCTTAGATATACTAGAGAATAATGTTATCTATATATATTCGGAGTTAGGTTCGTGGTCATAAGCACGTTTAGAAATCACATTAAATTTGATGTTTTTACTTATTTCTTATTGTTGTGGTTTCATGTGCCTATTAACACACGAACACGAAAAGTAAAATTATTTATTACCCTTAATTATTTAGCCTTTAACTCAACACTAATTATCCACCTCGCCTCATACATGACGTTTTAGGCATCTCACGCGCGAGCAAATAATATTCTCAAATTTGAAAACACAAAATTATTTTTTGAAAATGAGAATGAAATATAAAAATAAGAAATTGATACGAATAAATATTTACTATAATCCTTAAAAAAATAAAAAATGGAGGCCTTTTTAAAAATGTCTTCTCCGGGTGTACAAGGAGAAAAGACCTTACTTTAAACCCGTTAGTTTGAAGGCAATTATATTTACACCACAACTTTTGTTCATTAATTCATATTTTAATTGTGATGCTACCAAAAATCGTACCTGCAGATTTTCCGAGCTTGATGACTGATAAGGAGCACGAACGTGATCTTCCGATACCTGAAACAAAGGCAACGAGGTGTGTTCTCGTCGCCCCTCCGATGCTTAAGTCAGAAAGGGGAAATATATGCGTGAGGCTATGTGCTGAAGAACAATGAGAAAACGTACCTGAATAATGGCCCAAGGTTCTGTATTTATAGAGATAGGTGGTGTGTTCATATTAGGATTCCGTGTTGCACCTGTAGTAGGATAGCTTGATTTTGCAATCTTACACCAATGAGTCCTACGCGAGATAGGAGTTTGAATTGAGGTATAACTGTGATACCAATAGAGTTCTTCAGGGCATAGGAGACATGAATTGAGGATTTTTAGTCAGAATAAATCTCTCGTTGGATGAGGCGCTGTCGTAGGTCATAATCCCGAGGGCAAAACCCCGAGGATATGTCAAATGATTGATGAATAACTCTTCGGGATAATAGCCCGGGCATATAGGGGATACCCCGAGCACATATGTCCCGAGCATTTTGATACACATACCGACGAAATTGAGTCCTCGGGTATGTGTATACGTCGGGAACAAACTTGGTTATATCATTGGCCCCCGTGCACCTGTGCTCGATAATATGCACGAGGATAGGTGCAAAAGGTCCTAATTGCAGTCCTCGGTATATCGCCTCTGACGATTGAATACTGAGGAAGGACTCCTGAGGGCTGACGTCAGATGTGGTAATGACGCCAGCCCTAGTAGAAAGGCGGTGTAATTTTTAG